TGGCTGGGGAATTCTGGGAGTTGAAGTCCACTCATCTTAAAGTGGCCAAGTTTGGACAACACTGGCTTAGGGAATGGTTTCTGTAGCTTAGGTAATGATTTAAGTCATCTCCATCAAGGTCACCTTCCTTACTCTCTACAGTACGTGACACAGATACTCTCCCTCTCATTTTCATCCATTGCTTTTGTTGGATCAGAAGCAGGGACATCCTGTGAGAGAATACAGTGGTACCTCAGGTCACGAACGCTTCTGTTCACGACCAATTCGGGTCACGACCAGAGTCGCGGAACGAATTAAGTTCGTGAACCGAGGTACCACTGTACTTTGTTGGCTGGGCTTCCCCTGGACTTTAAATACTCTAATGGTTTGTAGCAGATTTCACCTTTTTAAAACAAGGGATGGAAGAGAAAGTAGTTCAGTTTGCAATGTATCTAATGTAGCAAATTCTCATGACTTTGAACCAGCTCATTTATGTTTGAACAGTCACACTTTTTCAAATGTTACATTGCAGTTCTCCAACCAAATGCAATTTTTAGTGTAAATTACTGCAACGGTAACAATGAACTCACATGAGAGGTGGGAAATAAATCTAAAAAAGCTGCTGTTATCTGATCAGAATGGTTGCATTCTATGATGGTTTAATGCCTGCAGTTTTTCTAATGCCACTCTGATTCTGTATAGAAAGGAGACACATAAGCATTGAATTTGAGACACTTATCCTATACCCTAATATGAAACAGTGAATAAGAAGCTGTGAATTCCCTTAGTCATGTCTAAGAGAAATAAAATAATGGATTGTTCTAAAATAATAAGCTACGTAGTTTGCATTCGGTTATATGAGATTCTTCTCTATGGCAAACTGAGTCACAGCCAAAGCAGGGCATGCACTGATGAGCATGGGACCTAACAAATTAATGGCATGCATTAATCACCCATTTCACCCTTTGCGAGGACTAAATTAATTCCAAGTGAGTCAGAATATGATTAGATCTGGAATAAGGCCTTAAACACTTTTAAACAATGTCATTCCATACCTGCTTACTCAGACCTAAGTTACACAGCGTTTAGTATTGTCTCACTCCCAGGCAAGTGTGAGGCCTGAGCCTCAGTGACTGAATGAGATCTTACACATGTGCGCCGGGTTGCAAGGCCCATTAAGCAAAAAAGGGCTCCTTTTTGAGCAGGCATGCTCAAAAGTTATTAAGATGGGTTGCAAATCAAATGTTGATATGTAAACAATACACAGGTTCTGTTTTGTTTTATTACTCCTTGCTTTTCCAATTTCACACTATCTCCGAGTGATGTTGCTCCTGCTGTATTATTTGAGGTGTGTGCCAGTCATTGTATCATATTTGTACAAGGACAATTTTCTTAAAGCCTCCTTCCTAGAGAAGTTCAAGACTGTAGAGTTTCTATGATTATTGCACAATGGCCATATCCACTAAATTATTTTCTATATGCTAATTCCATTGTTACCTACTCCAAAGCAGCAATTAAGTTCATATTTAATAGCGAAACACAGTGTAACTCACTTTTGTCAGTATTATGTAACAGTCATCACCATCATCATTAATATTCAAGGGCACAACAGAGAGACTTGAATGAATAAACGGAAGCAAAATTATCAGTTTTCTGCCTTCTTCATTTAGGCTATTTGTTTGCTTAAAAATAGCTTAAATGAAGAAGGCAGAAAATTGATAATTTTGCTTCCATTTATTCATTTGTCTGTGTGTGTGTGTCTGTATGCATGTGATTCATCTGTTACCTCAGTCCAATAGGACTCAAAGCCATGTACAGATATTAATGGGAAACGTGTACATGAAGAGCCAGTTTGGTGCAGGCTAGAAACTGTGAATTGTAGTCCTGCCTAAGGCACAAAGCTGGGTGATTTCAGGTCAATCACTATTTCTGAGCCCTAGGAAGAAAGCAATGGCAAACTATTTCTGGAAAATTGTAGGGACTTGTCCAGGAAGTCTCCAGGAGTTAAGACTGACTCAAAGGCATACCCCCCCCCAAAAAAAAATTGTACGTGGCCTACTAGAAGAGCCAGATTTTTACCAACTTCTGAAGACCACGGGCGTGCATTCTTGCTTTGGGAATCAGGCTGTTCCATAAGAGAGGAGCTACAGCATGGGAGCTGCTCCTGGTAGGTGAGGCCCTTAGCAGATGGTTCCTGGCCATCCAGGTTAGACAGACAGAATCTATCTGGGAAAGATATTTACCACTATTGATGTCAAGGGGACTATTCAAACTGTAAATGTGGTGAAATATTTTGGTGCCTCTGTCAAGACCGTGAGACATTCTCCTAAGTGCCACTTATTATGGGATAGATCTCATTCAACTCAGTAGTAATTAAGTTTAAGAAGCCTGGAATTGGGCTGCAAGAAAATAAATTATGGGTTGTGCATTAGCTGCCGCTCATCTTACACTAGGGCAGGCAATCTGCAGTCCATGTGCCATATTAAACCACCTAGATCCCTTTAGAGCCCCTACCCCAAGATCATGTCACTGAAATTCCATAAGAAATTGCCAATTTCACTTATTTTTTTTTAAAAAAAATACATTAAGTGTTCGATAGGTTAACCATATGAAAAAATAAATGAAAAATTATGCTGCCAGGAAAAAAAAACACAAGGTTGAAAATTCTAGCGACACCTTCTTCACAGTCATTGTTGTGTCACCCCCATTCTCACTGAAGGTCACAGGCAGCAATTAAGTTCATCTGAGTCTGCTTGAACCAAGAATGGTTAGCTGGAATCCTACTGAACCGTAGACTGAGTCTCCAAACTCAGTTAAGTTTTCACATGAATGACTCAATATACTGAGTCAGATCATTGATCTAATTAGCCAGTTAGATGTAGCTCTGAGGTCTAAAAATCTTGTTATCAATGCTTTAAGTCAGATGTGTAGTACTGTGGTCCTCTAATTATTATGAAAAGGTAACGTCCATCCAGGGGTGTCCACAGGGAAGGTCAACAGTGTCAAAATGGTGGACGCAACTGGCAATCAAAGCCCTGTCTTTTGAAATGTGGATCTTATGCACATAAAAAGGGATGGGGCTTTCATTGTCTGGTCATGCTGGCCATTTTGATGTTGTTGACCTCCTCTGCAGACACCCCTGCTCCCATCATCCCTGACCTTTGATTATGCAGGCTGGGCAGATACCTATTGAAATCCAAGAATATCTCCCATCATCTCACTGCCGAGCGACTCTGGGCAGTTTACAGTAAAAAGAATAAATATTAGTTAAAATAGAATTAATATGAATTGTTTAAAATCATGGATTCCCAGTGCCTGCCTTAAATAGATACACTATATGGTGAATCCAGTATAATTTCTTATAGCTCCAAGCTATCTACACTCTGATCCTTTGAAAAAGTCACATGTTTTAATCTCTCTCTCTCTCTCTCTCTCTCTCTCTCTCTCTCTACCCCCCCCCCCCTACATACACACATTGGATAGTGGTACCTTCAGTGACCATTTTATGAAAGAATTACATATCAGTAATACACCATTTGTTTTGTTACTCCTTTCCACAGAACAACCTGCAGAAGTGAATCGCAACCTGGAAACGATTTCTTCTCTATCAGTATCCTAGCAAATAATGTTAGATTCTCTGGCAGTTGTTCAGGCTAACATCAAATGTTAATTTCGTATAAGAGTCTGTTGTTGAGGATAGAGGCAGCTAGAGTATACAATGATGCACCTTGGGGGGAAATGACATCTTTGTCCCCAAATTTTCCATCTGATAAAAGGATGTAGCGGACTGTCCCTGTGTTTCTTGCAGTATTGCTGAAATGACTCTGCTGAATGGTTTTATCGCTATGACATTAAATCAAAGGCAGCCTTTAATCAAAAGCTATCTTCTGTTCCCAGACCATTGTTAGAGGAAATAAACCTTGCAAGGATGCTTCAATCAATGGCTTGCTGGAAGAATTTGACAATATCTCCGTGACCCGTTCCAACTCACTTCGGAAGGAGAGCCCTCCCACGCCTCACCTGAGACCTTCAAACCATATAGAAATCCACCAGCAAGAAAATGGCTTTGTCACCTATTCTCAGTATTCAAGTGAGTCAGAAACAGGGGCTGATTTCCTTGCTGAAAAATACAGAGACAAACACCTTCGTGGGGAGGAAGCAGACAGATACTCCCAAAGTAGCTGTGCTCCAAAGCAGAACGGACACGTGGCAAAACCGAAACCCAGTGAGATGTATTTTTCTGAAGCCAAGCCTCTGAAGTCTGACATCTCTAGGTTCCTACCAGATTATCACACTCCCTTGGAAACAAAAAGTAAGCTGAACGAATATGGTGGCCTGAAACTGGAATATCAGAGGACACCTAGTCACTCTTCTCTGGATTACAAAGAGCCCTTTCATTACACTCTCTCTAGAACTTCTCTTCACAGTCAGTGCTCCAGAGAGAGACTAGAATACAGTGACAGTGAGTGGTCCAAGGATGATTATGACAAAAGACCAAAATCATCCTATGTGAACCAGTCAAGTCCTCAACCAGCCATGAGACAAAGGTCACGGTCAGGGTCTGGCCTCCAAGAGCCAATCATGCCCTATGGAGCAAGTGCTTTTAAGTCCAGTCAGCAAGGATATTCGTATAGTTCCTACACCTACCCTCGGTTGTCGGAAACAGCAGCAGGTGTTCCAAAGGTAAATTTGTATAGGTCCACATTTTCAACCTGTCATTTCAGTACTTAAACACTATGTTGCCCTTTAGTAATGTCTCAGTGCCTCAGTTCTAAAGGAGGGTTTGCATCCCAGAAAGGTGAAAGGGGTTGGCATGCAGCCATGAACCATGAATGAAGGTCTTCTCATTTTTAATCCTTGTCATTATGGTTTTATCATCATCTTGGCTGCAGCTTTCCTGCTTCTTCCAAATATAGGGCAGAAGTCAATCAAGGGTCTTTCCAGATTAATACTGGTATTATGTATGAATATCTAGTTTGAAGATTGTATTATGGACAATAGAAGTGTATGGAACTAGTCCACTTCCAGGATTTCCTCATATTTCTGCCTCGTGGGTTGATAGCTTCATGGGTGTCTCAAATATCCTTGTATTTTGGTATCAGTCATACAAGCCTTGGTGTGTACTTTAGGGATAAATACCTTTTAAGCTATCTTGTTGTTTTCAAATTGGTGCAGGCTTAGTTGTGCATCTTAATTTATGTTTGGATGCAGTTCTAGATACAGATCATCATAACTGTTTCATAAAGAGCTGAAATGTTTAACTGGCTTGAAACAGAGTGGCCACTTCTCTTGTTTTGCCTCATATTTAATTTGTGTAAGTATTTGCACAAGCAATCATAAATTTGTTTTCTTGGCAGAAAATAATCTAGATAAAATCAGAAAAAAGGTGGGTAATTTAGGGAAATTACAAATGCAAAACTATCTGATTCCTGTAACATCCCTATGTTGTAGTAAGTACCCAAGTACCATAGGTAAATTGGCTGAATTGTTTAGTTAAGTCTGTAGATCCTAAATATTATAAACATCCTGCTTTTTATGAGGCATTGTTCAATGGAGAAGAAGGCTTCAGGGCACAATCTGTTCCCAAAATAAATCTCATATTTGGATATTGCTTTATACAGTAACTGCTTCTGATTCATTCTTGCCTGAAAATTGCAGCCAGTCTTTGATAAGGCTTATACCCATACCCAAAAATGTGTGCAGGCATGTACTATGAATGAAGGTTGAAATGGAATTAAACTGGTGCTGATATTTTGGGTGCTGTTGAAAGCAGACAAATCCCATACTTCTTCAGTTCATTAGTTAGGGTTTGCTTGTCTTACTGGTTTTGGATTTCACCTTCCTCAAAAGATTCAACAATTCTACACCCTCATCAGTAAAGCCACCCCTACATTTTCCAGTGGGTCATCATCATCACCATCATACTGTCAGTTTCCTACTTTTAAGCTAAATAATTCTCCTCACCAGAGACTGGAAGAAGCCCAGACAATGTGACAGAAAAAGCATGCATAATAAATACTTATATCCTAGCACAGCCATATGATTGCTGATGATAATTGCTGAACTTGACCATACAGTTACCATTTGATCCCTGTAAGCCAGGTAGTTAAGACTCTGGCAGAGTCTTTTCATGTCATTAACTCATGTCATTGAACCCAGTGTAATCATTCCAGAGCAAGAGTTGATTTATCTAATTCAGTTAGTCTAGGACACTGTGAGTTGAAGCACAAGTTGATGATGCATGAAAGGAACCCCATCTATGTAATCTAGAGCTGGGGAGATGTTTTCAAGTCAAGGGCTACATTTGCTCTGTGAATGGTGTGCCAGGACCTACAATCCAAAATTAAATACAGCGAAGACGTTTAATCCCCACTCCCCACCCCGTATGCCTAATAATTCCCCCTTCCATCTCCCCAAAAAATTGTTTGGTGGAAACATTTTGAGGGGCTCTGTGGAACTGCATCCAAAGTATTTGGTTAGTGACCACTCATGGCCTGCAGTCTTAGATGGTGCAACTATGATACAGTTGCCAACCTGTCTCCAATGTGACTGGTCTGATGCCGTCAGTAAATGCACGATCAGAGCACAAAGCTAGCAAATTTACTCTTCAAATTGGAATTTGAAGAAGTACTTTCTTGTCAAAACTTAACCCATGTATCTGGCTGCCATAGCTAAATGCTCTTGATAGCATCAGACAAATTCCTCCTTGAGGTATTTGACTAATCCCTTTTTAAAGCTGTCTAAGCCAACAGTGAGTCCCACATCATAAGGCAGCAAATCCCAGATCTTTGTCATGCTGTGTATGGAGTTTTGGTTTCTTTGAGCTGTTCTAAATCTGGTTCATTTTCAGCTGAGCCTGCAGTGAAATACGGGGACCTAGCCACATTTCATCATAGTCAGAACATGCATCTTCCTTTCTTTCAAGCCACAGAGGAAGCTGTGTGAACCCGCTCCGGAGCAGTAAAACGGCACTCAATTTTATTTAAGTGAACAAGTCAGCTCTGAATGGAGTTGACATCCACTGTCTATTTTTCAGTTCAGTGTTAAGGAGATGCAACCTATACTGGCTAAATTTCTGGATCAGTGCCTTCATCTGCATTAGAATCTGCCAGGTTCATGTTCCCTTGCAGTCATCTCCCACACCTAATTCCTTTGAGATCTCCTAATGTGTTGGTTTTCTTGCTGCTTTCCTATGCTTTTCCCCCACCTACTTGAAAGAAAAACAAATTATTAAAGCACCAGGGAAACAGCCACTGCTTAGCAACTAAACTAAACTAAACCACTCTCTACTCACAAATAGGTGCTGCTGAATTCTCTGAGACTTACTCTGAGGTAAGCTTGTGTAGAATTGCAGCTGACAAAGCCTTTGTGCCAGAGAGAATAGCAGATGCATTTGAGCTCCTTTAACACCAAACATTACAGCTGTTTCTGCAGCAGCATATACCGTCTCACTGCTGTGACTTTGATGGATGTCATGACAGAATTTAATCTGCTTCATTGACCTGGACTTGAGAAAGTGATTTTTTCCCCACTTTTCTTATCTTTAAATAATTTCTTTAGGGTGGTTTCATTAATCTTTCTGTTTATATTATACTTCAGAAAAGTATATAATTTTAATTGTTTGTTTGCTTTCTATCTCATCCCAATCTCGTGATTCTCAGTGGGATATAAATTCAATAAATATAGTGATGTTATTGACTTTGCAATGTTACAGATATCTGTGCTTGGACCCTGTTAAGTTGTTTAGTTTTCTTACCAACAGTGTATTGCACATATTGCAGAAAATAGCATATGTGTAAAATGTATGAATGAGAGTACTTTAACAGATTTTTATTTTCTCTTGCAGTCTTTCATGCACGCACACCCAAAAAATCCTGATATTTATTAAACTACATCTCAGATCACTAACACGCAGAGGAATTGACCTGATAGTCCATGTCATGATCCAAGAGTTAAGACCTTTACAGAGGAGGCCAAGGAAGTATAACCCAGTCTCTTCCCTATATTATAATTTTTTCAAGTTGCATAGCCATTAATTCAAAAAAAGCTTATTTGAAGAAGATACAGAGCTGCATATAATTTCAGTAACAAAGTTGGAGAAAAGCAGACAACTGCTTTATCTTTTCCACGTTTTTTTTTTTTTAATCATTGCAAAAGAAAAAGACTGTAAGTGTATCTGAAGGTTTGGTCCAGTCACATGACACAGCAATCTTGTAGAAGAAGCCAAAGCATAAATATAACAGCTTCCTTCTGTTAAGCTTCTCTTTCCTATGTTCTCATCTTCCTACAATTATTGAAGCAACAGAAGTTATAGTGTCTTGATGTGTGATATATTTAATTGGCCCCAGATTTTTTACATCATGCTTGGTCGAGACTATGCAATGCAGGTTCAGGAATTTGTTGCCTTCATTTTGTAGCTTCCAGATTTCCAGCTATGGTCACAGAGAATAGTTTGGAAAGAATGCCTAGGTGATATTTGTTGATGATGCCCCAAACTGGGAGCTTTGTTGAAAAATATCATTGTAGTATTTCCCTCCATCCCAGAGCAGAATGATACAAGCAATCTGGGTTTTGACATTGTTAGTTTTCAGTGTGGTGCTTTTCAGTGCTGGCAACAGAATATGGGATCAAAAAGATATCATAAACATTTCTGTTTATGGAACCAAGTCGCTGTGCTGCTTGGAAACATAGAGTTGGAATATTGTTCTACAAGGGTATCAGCAGAGCAGCCATCAAGACTTCGCTATCGCTAGCAGTCAGCTTCATTTCTTATAGTCCAGATAAAATCCTTGGCCAGTCTAGACTCTCTTTATTAATATTATTATCCTTTCAGGAAATATTCTGAGCTCTTCCTAGAAGGTTGAATTCACATACAGTCGTAATTATTTTATGCATCTGTTGTTCATTTCCAACTTATTTATGTCTCAGAAATTTGCTGCTCCAAGATATAGTTAGCGCATAATTGGCCTTTTTTGGAACTAATGAATGAGCAGTCCTTAAAATAAACCAACCAACAAAGCCATCAGTCTTAGGCTTCGGAACAGCTTCCGAAAGCCAGAGCAACCTTTTTCCCATCAGAGCTTCCCAAGAGATGAAAAGAAGGGCAAGTGAAGGAATCTCCAGAGGTGGCTAAACAGATCTGATTCTCTGCTGTGCATCTTTCTTCCTGCACTGAGTAGAACTCAGTTACTCCCTCGCTGTGCAGCAACCTACGGAGATAAATTGATGCTGCGGCAGGCTTCCCCATCACTCCTCCCTACAGCCTTAGCATAAAATGGTCAAATGAAGTTCCACTGCAGAATTCAATTTCACAGTTCAGTTGGGTCCTTGATTACACTGCCAAATTCAGATTAATGTGCATTTAACTAACATGGATCAGAGAACTTCTGGCTGGCAGCCAGCAGTGAAACTAGTAACTCAGCGCTGGGAAGAGCTTCTGCTTTGTCCACCCCTGTGCTCTAGCACTGAAATTGATTGATTAAATAAATTCACTGCTATAATTATTTGTAATTGTGCTACATCATGAGTCTGCTTCTAAACCCCCACCCACCTTGGTGGTGTTACAAGCTCTCTTGCTTTGAACAATGCTGAAAATTACTCTTTTCAGGAAAGGCTTCCTATTTTTTCCCCCTTCTCTTTCTTTTTTGAATCATTCATCTACATAGGTACATATTTGAGAATGT